CAGCATGTCCCGGTCCCACTCGTCCTCCTGTATCATGTACTCGTCCGGCTCATACTCGTGGTTGTTGTATTGCACCGTCATATCTACCTGGGTCATGGTTCTGCAGATGTGTTAACACACAAAAAAAAAAAAACTCTACTGCAATTGATTAGAAGTGGACGGGAGGGAGGAGAACAACGCCGCAACGGTACTTGAGAAGCTGCTGTAAAGCGCCTTGCAGGTTCAGTGCTGAATTCGCAGTTCGGTGCAGTGAATGTGGGTATGAGCTGCGCTCTCTGCTCCCCGGCTGACGGAGTGAACTCGGCGGCGCTCGCGCGGATTTCAATTCATACTGCGCGTCACGTGACGCCTGGCCCGGCTGGCAGGGGCACTTGAGCACGCGAGTGGGGGGAGACACATTGTCCCTCTGGGAGTCACCCCCCGCCGCTGCCCGTGACAGTGTTTCCGAAAAGCATCCTCTTGCCTGCGCAGATGTAGCGATAGGAGCCGCTGCTGGAGACGCGTGCCTTCGGGCGTGCGCATCGCTGTCATGCATAACATGAATCTTGCAGACTTTGAGATTATGATGCACCCTCTAAACCCAATCCCCGCTGGAACAATAAACCAAAAGACACGGGTACACACAAACGCAAGAAAACTTACTTAAAAAATGACCTTTTCAAGCATTTTTAAAGGAAAAATACATTAAAAGGTATTAATTCAGCAGAACCGAAAGCAGGGTCTTCCAGTACAGCAGTTCGAAGACTGCCAATGAGGGCAGCTGTGGGGTTTAACAGCTCCCTAATGTAGGTAAAAGACAGACCCTTCAGCCCTTCAAGGTGCAGCAGCAGTGTTTTAAATTCCATTCTGAAATCCCTAGGGAGCCAGTAGAAGGGAGATAAAACTGGTAAGATGTGCACCTGCATTTTAGATTTCCTTCAAATCCGGGCATCTGAATAATGAAGACCTGACTTGAGTGTCCTCACAGGCAATCACTGTGCAGCATAGTGTTCGAGTAGTACTTTGTTGTTTAAGAAATACACTCTTTGATAGGTGTTTATAGGGTCCATTTTAATATCAGTCATTGCAGTGGTGGCGAATGTACGTGACAATGGGATGAAGCCTGGAGTTTCAGGAGGTTCTGGAGCTCCAGACAGCCCAGGCTAGCAGTAACTCTGTGGCTCCTGACAGCACTGAAGCTCAGCAGGTGTGAGCCTGGTCAGTACCTGCATGGGAGACAAACCTGGGGAAAAACTACTGCAGGTGTTAGAGGGGCCGGTAGGGGTTGCTCACCCTGCAGTCTGTGTGGATCCTATGGCCCCAGTACACTGATGGGGTCAATATACTATAAAAAGGTGCTGTCCTTTGGATGAGATGTAAAACTGAGGTCCTGACTCTCTGTGATATGAAATAAGAGTAAGGTATTATTATTATTAGACTGAGTGTGTGAATCAGAGAGATAGCAGGTGCTTACACAGAGGGTAAAGGCACCATGGCAATGCTCCTACTCCAGCCATGAGCCTGTCCAGGGGCCCCTTTACAGACACCTCACGGGGGAGAGGCAGTGAAAGATGAAGTGAGGGGTGTTTTCTGTACACCTGCAACACACCCGGCCCTGGCGTCTCTGTGTCCTGAAAGCTCAGACTGGGCATACTCTACTAGTGCACACAGTGAATTCAAAGGCAAAGGGATTTAATTGTTCAGTGGTAAACTAATTCAAAATTAGATTAAACAAGGTTTCTAAAGAGATTTTGCAAAGGCACTGTTCAGAATTGCACTTTCTTCAATCCACTTGAAGAAAATAATTTGTATGCTTGTACGGATGTGTGCAATGTGTTAACACGGGAAGTATTACATTGCACATCAAACGTTACAGAAATTTAAACCGACAGCAAATAATTTAGGACTCCCACCTCCAGAGGTCGCTATCAATCGCACTTTCTTAGGCGGATCAACGCGTGTGCTCATTCATACCATATCCGGGTTAGAGGTTAGCCTGTACACGCACATGTACATGTGGGTCCTGAAGTGAGCTACAGTAAGTTGGAGGTTCTTAAAATCGTTGCAAATTAAGTCTCTTTATTTATGTAGTTCATAGTAGAATATTCCTTGGTTATGTATCCAGTTATCTTTAAAACATAAAATTCTTGTGTTTATCTTTTGCTTACTGTTGTGTTCCCAGTTGTTAAAAACGTTCATACAGCAAGCTACTGCTACAGTTTATTTTGTGTTCAAATTATTGCATGTGTTTCTTCGTCATGTTCTCTGAACTATTCACAGACACTGCCCAAAAATCTGAGTATAGTATTCGTATTTATGAGAACATATTCGTATTTTTTTTCAGTTCTTGTCTTAGCATTATTTTTGTCATCGGTCGCATTGTAAGGTCTTGCAATACAGGTATCGGTATGTGGCGGTAAAATGTAATAGAACCGTATGAAAGTCGGGTTTTCACTTCATCCTCTCAAGGTGTTTTTGATTTAATGAGTAAATATCAGCGCGATCTTCCTGAGATTCTTCGACACTGACTCAAGATCTCGACCAAACCCACTAACAACCAGGGGACGGGAGGCATGTGATCGTAGTATTTGCAACATTAATGTTCTTGTTTTATTTCTAGGAGTCGGGATAGTTAGCGGTAAAATGACGTCGCTAGCTCAGCAGCTGAAGCGTCTGGCTCTGCCACAGAATGACCCGAGTTTGCTGTCTCGTAAGGATGTGGCCTCCCTGCTCTTTGACCCGAAGGAGGCAGCAGGCATTGACAGAGACACTTTCTTCGCACTGGGTAAATGAACAGCTCCCCACTGGGGACGGCATGAGCTGAGAATTGCTGCTGCTATGTCCGTGCATGTTCAAGTTTAAAAAAAAACTGCAGTGCTGTTTCGATGTTAATCACAGTCGTTTTTTAATTTAACGACAAGTGTTGCTGAACGTTTGTCTTCACGGCTATGCTGTGTGCCTGAGTCTGGTCACCAGTCAGACCCTTGCTGTCCTGTCGTGACAGGGTGCACAGGACTGGAGGAGCTGCTGGGAATTGAACCCCTGTTTGAGGAGTTCCAGGACACGCTGTTCAGCCCAGCTTCCAAAAACCTGGAGCGTAGCGTTCAGACCAAGGAGGTCAACCAGCGCCTAGACGCAGGGATCTCCTTGTTCCTCACTCGCCTTTCTCCGTATTTCATGCTAAAACCAGCACAGAAATGCCTGGAGTGGCTCATTCACCGGTAAGATCCACCTCAGCAGTACGCTTTTGGCGCCCCTGGATGTTTTCGAATAATTTCGGCCATTCCTCAGTCAAGAAATGTGTATCTGTGAAAACCCTGAGTTTGCCCTAGCCTTACTTAGCCACCATCACCTACAATTTTAGTTCTCGTTTTTATTTAAAGTGATTAACTGCTTTACCCCTTACAAGTGGAGATTATTGTAAATGTTCCACAGGTTCCACATCCATCTTTATAACGAAGACAGCTTGGTTGCCTGTGTTTTGCCATATCATGAGACCAAAGTGTTTGTGAGAGTAATTCAGCTGCTAAAAACCAAGGACCCAACCCACAGATGGAATTGGCTCCACGCAATAAAGGTACAGTGTTCCAGTATGTCTCTTCTTTAGTGTTCAATGTACAATAAGCTCGATGTTGTAGCTTTTTTTTTTAACTGAAAGGTTGAATTGGCATAGAAATACTTAATGAATGCTTGTTTTCAGTTAAAAAAACAACCTTCGCCACATCAAAATTAATTTTTTCTCTTGTCATATATCGCATGTATGGTCAATAGTTTTAAGTGGACTGCATGTTTGTTGAGTATTGTAAAAGGTGCCTTTCCAGGTAGTTAACTGAAGTAATTCAGAGCTCAGCTAGAATTAAAAACATAGTCACCCCTGAGGAAAGTTTGACATGCTCCACACCCAGTGACAGAAGCCAGGATTTCTGTGATTGGAAAAGTAAATGATGCTGGTCATTTCAGCTTTAATGATCTTGTGCTAAATCACAATATTGACATTATTGCTTTGTGCTCATTGTTTTCAGAAACCCGGGGTTCCACTGCCCAGAAGCACAGTTATTACACACTGTTACAAAAACCTGAGTTTCCTGGACTTTATCTGCAGTCTTGTGACTAAATCGATTAAGGTAACGAAACTCATTCCTACTTGTCCTTTCCATACAAGTAGGAACTTTGCATTCAGGTTTTTATTGAATCTTACCTTAAGAAACCTGAGCTGATGCTTCTGTGTTCTGTGTTTCAGGCTTATTCAGGATCTTCAGGAAACTGTGCCCAGCTCAGAGTTATTTTCTCCTTCTATGCATCAACTATTGTTCTTGCTTTAGATGCTGTTGAAAAGATAACAGATGCATTGATAGCCAAATTGCTGCCATATATTCAAAAGGTAAGAAGCATATTATGTTATATTTGAAAAACAAAGATCTGTGCGTTTTATTTTCAGTTTCTTAGTTTATTTAAAGCACAAGGTAAATTACCTAAACCCCAGTGTCCCAAAACATGCCCAGGAGAATGCTGTCTCTTAAATTTGTTCTGCATCCTTGTTGTAGTTCAGTAACTTTAAATATGTTCTGATGCCTTTCCTGACTCCTTTATTTTCATGTGCTCTTTAATCAACTTTGACATTGCAGACAAGTGATGTTTTGTGAAAAATAATTTAGTTTCTTCCTTCCCCACCTCCTTTCGACGTGTGGTATAAGTGTTTTTTAGCAAACCTTTAAATGAAAACTTTTTTTTGTTCTGTGTCCTAGGGTTTGAAGTCACCCTTGACAGACTATAAGGCTGCAACCTACATGATTGCGAGTCAGCTGGCTGTCAAGGTGGTGATGGAGCCGGCTTTGGTCAATACCCTCGCTCTGCAGATTAGCAGCTCTCTTTCTCAAGACCCTGCCATGCCCAGAGAAGGGCTGGGCTGCCTGATTGTTTTATTACAAAATCAGAAGGAAGGCTGCCTCGAAACAAAGTGAGTCTGAAACTATTAACTGTTCACTTATTTGATTGATGTTCTGAGTGTATGAAAGGAGACTGATTCACCACTGACTCTGCACCTGTAACTGTAATTTACAATCTCAAGGAAAACATAGTCTGGAATGCTAATCTTGAATTACATTTTGGTAATTTGATGGTATTCTTGGCATTGATGAGATTCTTTGAGCTGTCACTGTGATTTCTTTGTTTTTCCATTCCATTCA